TAATCTCCTGGTCATTCACATAATAAGATGAGGAAAAGTTTATTAAACTATGAATTCAAAATATAGATGAATTACCTGAGGTAGAGGAGGACCACATCCCCCTTGTGTTAAGCCATCAATAATCTCCTGGTCATTCACATAATAAGATGAGGAAAAGTTTATTAAACTATGAATTCAAAATATAGATGAATTACCTGAGGTAGAGGAGGACCACATCCCCCCTGTGTTAAGCCATCAATAATCTCCTGGTCAGTAGTGTAGGTACGTAGTACGTGATGACACTTTGAACGACATTGCCGCTTGGGGGACTTTTCACAACAATGAAGATCTGCAAAGAAGAAAAATCCAAATTTCATATATTTATCAACGGAGATTAAAAAATATAACTGTAACATAAAATTAATGACTTATTTCTACATCTTAGTTCTTTCTATTATTTTATTGGTATACTCACTTGTATTTAATAGAATATTATGTTACAGTGTTATATAGTACAATGTTATGTAAGAGAGTGTTCTTCAGTATAATGTTATGCTACACAGAGTTGTTCGGTAGAATGTTATGTTACACAGCGTTGTTCAGTATAATGTTATGAAAGACAGTGTTGTTCAGTATAATGTTATGCTACACAGTGTTGTTCAGTAGAATGTTATGCTACACAGTGTTGTTCAGTAGAATGTTATGTTACACAGTATTGTTCAGTAGAATGTTATGAAAGACAGTGTTGTTCAGTATAATGTTATGCTACACAGTGTTGTTCAGTAGAATGTTATGCTACACAGTGTTGTTCAGTAGAATGTTATGTTACACAGTGTTGTTTAGTACAATGTTATGTTACACATTGTTGTTCGGTAGAATGTTATGCTACACAGTGTTGTTCAGTAGAATGTTATGTTGCACAGTTTTGTTCAGTGTAATTTTATGCTACACAGTATTGTTCAGTACAATGTTATGTTACCCAGTGTTGTACAGTAGAATGTTAACTTACACCGTGTTGTTCAGTAGAATGTTATGTTACACAGTGTTGTTCAGTGTAATGTTATGCTACACAGTATTGTCCAGTACAATGTTATGTTACTCAGTGTTGTACAGTACAATGTTAACTTACACAGTATTGTTCAGTACAATGTTATGTTACACAATGTTGTTCGGTAGAATGTTGCATGAAGTAGAACTACTCATATTGTGAAAACGTATAATAACTAATTAAAAACAACGTTTTTTTTTAAATTATTTACTATAATTTTAAACAGTACACAAGTGCCGGTGCCCCCCAGTAGCACAGCAGTATGTCTGCGGACTTTACAACGCTAGAATCCGGTTTTCGATACCCGTGGTGGGCAGAGCACAGATAGCCCATTGTGTAGCTTTGTGCGTGATTATAAACAAACACTTTCAGATTGCGAAATAGTTATATTTACGTTGAATGAGTTATTGGTTTCATTATTGTTTTTACAATTAGACTGTTACTTTATTACATTTTTCATAATAATACATAATAAAATTGATATTAGCTTCACGGATAAAGAAACAATTAAATAAAGTAAATAAAAACACGTGTTCAGAGACCTGAATACCATAGAAAAAGAAAAAGGATTAAATAAACCGAAAGTTTAGTTATTGACTTTATGTGGGGTTGAGTGTAGCCCAGTAGTTAGCGTGTTGAACTTCAGGTCAGAGAGTCCAAAGTTCAAGTCGCGATATGCCTTTGAAAACGCACCGTAGCTTCAGCTGTGGGCGCGTTATAAAAATGACAGTCAAAACCTTTATTTGGTTATACTTTTCGTTGCCTTCTCACCGTCTGGCCAGTCTGAACCTTAGGGGTCTTTGGCCTGGCCGTTTGTTTAGCCCACGTGTTGCATAAAATACTATTAGGTGCAAAACGCTAAATATCGTTTTATGCGCATGTGTAATATTTAATGTCACAACACGAAACAAATCTTATACTTACTGCGAGTGGGGTTAGTAGCAGGCGTGGTGTAAGTGTAATTACGTACACAACGTAACACTCGAAGACCGTGCTGTGCACACTGGTGAAACACCGATTCTCTGACCTCCCTGCTAGGTGTCATGGTAGAGCGAAACACTTCCCAGCAGGCTTTGCGGCATTCAGATCTTCTCGACTGCTGGCAGCAAAATTCTCCAACTGAAAAATACAACATGAGCGTAAAATTGTGAGAATGTTTCGAGACCGTGATTCCCATGGTGATCAATACTTCGCAGATGATAAAGCTTGACCAATGTGTAACGGTGACTTATCCCAACTTTTATGTTGTTGTTTTTTTTTAGTT